ATCTAGCAGTAGCCTGCAGTGCTGCTTTTAACCACTGCGCCACCTTGGCTCTTATGGTTCAACATGATTGTCCCAAAGGTGCTTTTTCAAGAGGCACCTGGACTTTCTGTTTTTTCTTTGAAGACATTTCGCTTCTCATCCATGAAGCTTCTTTCAGCTCTCTCAAGAAGCTTTTTGGATGAGAAGCAAAATGTTGTCAAAGAAAAACCAGAAAGTCCAGTTGTCTCTTGAAAAAGCATCTTTGAGACAACTATGACCTGAATGACTGAGACTCTCCATAGATTTTCAACATAGATGTATCCTGGATCTCTTCTGGTCTTTGAATGTAATGAAGTGAACTGTAACTATAGCAATATAGTTCCTTTATACTTCAGATCACATTTTTATCATTTACATTAGGGAACTAATTATCAATTAATGATATTTTCAATTATCCCATTTTTCTGAAGTACAAAGATGAAGTAATAGTCACATTAATCAATCAGCCAGGAATATAATTATATGAAGAAAGGCTGCTGATTATCTCATCTATTTCTTTGGCATGTCTTGAAAAAGGTTTAACTGAAGAATATATTTCTTGAGAAAGTTGTAGCAGGATTTGTTTTTTTTTTTTAATGACAAATGTTTTGAGCCATGGTGACTAAAAATTCAGTATTGCAGGGGTTCGATCCTCACTGGCTCACAATTAACTTTCATTCTTCCAAGATCAGTAAAATGAGGATCCAAATTGTTGGGGGCAATATGCTGACTCTCTAGTTAGAAAAACAGTAAAACATTATGAAGTGGTATATAAGTCCAAGTGCTATCATTATAAAATTGGTTCTAAAAGTGAGAATATTTGAGATTTCAGAACCAAATGTACATTTGAGAGACATTTCATTGTAATGGTGGAAATCATTGGGCAGGATTGTTGATTGAGTTCCAGTCCTCTCTTAGGCACAAAAGTTGGCTGGCTGATATTGCATCACTTACTCAATCCAACTCACCTCAAAGAGCTCAAAGAGCTATAGTAAGAAATATAGGAAGCATTATATATATACTACCATCAATGTACAAAGGATCTGTATCAAGTAAATAATACTTTCTATTCACTTTTTAGAAAAGCTTCTGTGAGAACCTTTTTTACTTGGTAAATAAACAGTGAGGCTGATTGTGGAGCTGATTGTTTATGTCTTTGCCATTTAGTTCATGCCCAGTTTGGAGACATGACCATCCTTTGGTACTTTGATATTTAGCTATATAAGAAATAAGGTGAAGTTACCTAGCTCAATATTTTTTTTTTTTAAATTGCTGATATGGATGCCCGTAATAGAAAAATTTGATCTGATAATAACAGCTGTAGATGGTATGACATTGTCTTCAAAATTGGGTGATTTGTAGACCAGGTGTTCTTGACAAAGTACATTATGGATGCTCTGGCCAGTAATGCCAATCTCTAAAGAACTTTGATCTGAACTTAGAGATTTGTGCTTTAATTACTTCTGCTATGAACTGTGCAATCACTTTTTGGTATATACTGTGCTTACCACAGTAGTTTAGCCTTATACTAGTTGCACATATCACCAAATCTGTTATGCCCTTGAGGATTTGGAAATGTGATATATAACAAGATTAATGTATTCATACAATTCTAGGTGTAGTTTAAATTTTGTTTTCAAATACATGTTTTACAACCATGAATAGGGAAATGGATGGAAACATAAGATAACAGTTTTTCAATGGCAGACTTTAGATTATGGCACTTTTTTTCTAAGTACATCAAAGTAGTTCCTATTGTGACTGAATATTATAAATAACATTATTCTTAAGGGGGTTTATTATTATGTTCATAATATTGTTACATATGTTTAACTTGTAAGTCATTTTGGGGAAAAAATTGAATGCTGCCAACCAATGAATTAATAATCTGATCAATAAATAGCAGTACTGAAGGTTTTAATTCCATATTATGTATAGCATTTTGTCCAAGACTAATCTTTAAATCTTGTTTTCAAGATTGTATGTATTGAAAAAAAATATTTTGTTTGTTTACAGGCTCCTCAATGCAAATAAGATCAATTGCCTGAGAGTAAACACATTTCAAGATCTGCATAATCTTAATTTGTTATCTCTCTATGATAATAAACTGCAGACTATCAGCAAAGGTCTTTTTGCTCCTCTTCAATCAATTCAAACGTTGTGAGTATTGAATAATATTATATCTGTATTCTTCCATCTTCTTCAGGCAGTGCATCCTATATATGGTTCCAAAAATGAACGTTTTATCTTAACCTTTGATCCTGCCCAAACTGCTAACTTTGAGACATAATAGATTGATGTAGTAGAAGAAGAAACCAAACATTTAAATAATTCCATTACACACAACGTTTGAATTGATTGAAGAGGAGCAAAAAGACCTTTGCTGATAGTCTGCAGTTTATTATCATAGAGAGATAACAAATTAAGATTATGCAGATCTTGAAATGTGTTTACTCT